ATTGGGTAGGGATTGAATGGGATTTAATTATATAGTAGGGATGATCCAAGTGAAACTATTGTTTGCAGCAAGCGAGTTATATATAACCCCAGTTCAGGGAGAGCTTGTCCACTTATGTTTTTGGGATACGTTTTGTTTTAACCATTTTTAACTATAATTCACCTGCGTTTTGTGGGGTGAACCACCAAGGACAGAGGTTCAAATCATCCCCAAATGGTTTTTGAGTGGCTTTACCACGGAAATGACTGTGGAAATAGGGAATGGACAGCAGCACTGTTTTTTCATGACACATGAAATCCTCCGTTAGCGCACGGCAATACACAACAATGGGCTTGGACGATTCGGAGATGTAAACATGGGGAATCAACAGTAAGGGATGGGGGAATCATTCGAATGGGCCCAAAATGTGTGAGCAACGATTCGCTAACAACAATGGTTCACCAGCATCAAACTGCTACATTCAACGCAGCTCATGGATTGGAGCAGGTACAGTTCCACTTGATCCATCCATATCCACAATCCCTGGCTGAACTAGTCACCAAGATGGAGATTTTCATGGTCGCAATGGTCCCAATGGTCCCAGTTCCTCTCCATGTCAACTGGTGTGGGTATCAATACATATCAGTTATATCATTGTTATATCAATAGCCTTCTCTGGTTGTGAAAGTTGGGTATCTTCAAGACAGGGCTGATCAGCTCGAGTCTCGCTCAGGTTATGGCAAAAAGAGACTGGTCCGCACGCTGCGATCCAAAGATGTATGCTGTATCCACTGGAATGGATGTGATAATCACAACTAGCTGGTTCCGAACTGTCCGTGTTGGGATAATCCAAACAAACAGCATGGAACATGGTTTCGTTTAGGTGAGTGAAGTGTTTGTTTCTAGTGGTACAATTTGTTTACACATCTATCTGCAATGGCCAAACTGCGGCGAGTTTTGTGTATCAGACGTATTATTGTCAGAAGTTCCTCGTGCAGAGAAAGTCTACCGGGGTTCCCAGGAGCGTTTCATTACAGGTCAGCAATCTGGTTGGTAAATGTTTGAAGAGGCACCCCAGTGGACCCTGATCTATTCTCAGGTATTGTGGCTTTGGAAATGGCATGGGAACTGTCCTGGGATATATAAAGCCTCTGAGTAGTACTTCAAACTTGGATCAAATTGGCCGTTACAGAAAGATCACCAGCCAATCTGTGGAGGGGTTTTGAAGGCCAAGCCATGCCCATTTCAGAAGATAGTCATTGGAAACTCACATAGGTCTTGACATCGTTTTGTCCAAGAGTCCGCAGCCAGGAGGCAAGTCAATTCGGCTCAAGAATTGGAAACTCCAATGCCTGGCGCATGCATAGCCACCTAAGCTAAACCACCCAGTCCGATACTCCAGCAGCATGTGACGTTACCTGTAACTGGTCGCTGGTTTCTATTTAAAATTGTTCTCGTTTTTCAGTTCCCTACTTGGAATGATGAGGGTTTTATTGATTTATATACATGTATTGTGATATAGAAATAAATAATATATATATAGATAGATAGATAGATAGATAGATAGATAGAGAGAGAGAGAGTTTGTGTTTTTTCTGAAAATAGGGTTTCCCCAAGTTTGATCCTTTTTTTTTCTCGAAATGAAATTTACACACAGACACACAGACACACAGAGAGACAGAGAGAGAGAGAGAGAGAGAGAGCCATATACATCCCCATTAGATCCCCATCATATCCTATTGTTGATTTTAATCCCCATTACATAATATTTCAATATAGGATGTATTGAAACCACCAACAGCCCATCACATTGTCTGCTCCGAGGAGTTGCATGACACAGATGGCGTTGAATCCGAACTTTTGAGAAATGGGTTTGTCTGATCAGGAATTCCCTTCGAAAAACAGAATTTAGATAAGTTATTTGTTTGGAGAAATGGCGTTTCATCAATGGATATAAGGTGATTCAAACCATGATTTTTTGGGGGGTGAACTTTCACAGACAAACCCAGCTATAGCATCAAATAGATCGATCGATGGTCACAAGTCAAAATGTCGCGGCACACCTGGAGCTGTCAAGTACTTTTATAGGTGTATGATGATGGTGTATGTATATGTATATATATGATATAATTACATATATATATATGTATATATGATATAATTAATTATATATAATTGTATTAATTATTCTATAGATATGTATATATATATACAAATCACGTATACTTTTCGGTTGTTTTTCAAGAATATTGCCTCCCTCAAAAGAAAATCCCACTCTGGGCTTTGCAAAGACGCCGCTGGTGGGCAGTGGTGCCTTTGCACAAGTCCTGCGTGCCAAGGACTGCGGCGGGACGGCGACAGTTGGGTGGACCTCAACTGGAGAAAATCTTTAGACATCTCTGGGAAGAGTCAAAATGTCTCAAAATGAACAGGAAGTAAAGATATATAAGATGATATAACTCTTGGGTCTGGGGTTAAACATTGGTCCCGTGAAGGTGAATGAGGTACTGTTGCAATCCCTTCGTGCCAATATTAAATACTCCCCAGAGGGATCCGTGCCCCAAAATGAGCGGATCCAATACAAGACTAGAGTTTCCTTTGGGATTATTTCATATCAGGGGGAAGAGACTAGTTCAGTTCATTTGTGTAGACACCTAAAAGAAGGCATACGTGATATCCTTGATTTTTTGTTTCAGGGTTTTTGATTTGCATAGGAATAACTCGGAAAAACATATCCATCAAGTATGCAGAAATCATCAGAAATCTATAGGGCTAAAAGTAATCCACCATTTATAGATGATTTTATGTAATTTTTCCCTAGAAACCTCCATTGATATTGGATTTCCCAGCCATGATTTCCGTTGCTGGTAAGCGTAACAGGAGAGGAAGACGGGGGTCATTTGGGCCCGGCGCCAAGCTGCCAGAAACAAAGGTCTCCTGCGGATTTTATCGAAAAAGAAACAACTATTCTGGGATTGGTTGATCAGTTGACATATATATATACATACTATATTTATATGATATAATATAATATCACTATCAGGTCTATATTATAATGTGATAAAGATAATGGTTGAATATTCTTTTTAATGATTATGATACTGGTTGATTATGATTTAATCTGGTAAAACCAATAATAGTAATAATACCAATAATAATAATAATAAATCTACCTTCGGGGATGGCATTTACTACCCACGAAATGGTGATACTGGGGATGGTGCAGATGGCGTTCATTGAATTTCACAGCAGGTGAAAAATAATCCACCGCTGGTCTAATTGGTGATCAACTGCTGAGGACTCAAGGATAAGATCTACAGCTTGTGATGCCAACTGGAGATTACCAGACGTGACATCATGATTAGAAAGTCTCAGATTTGAATCCTTGCTGGTTGAATATGGAACTAGTCTGCGGTGGATGACTTTGAAAGATGCGCGATATGGTTTGTCCAGAAATGCGGTACACCATGGTACACCTATGGTACACCTAAATTGAGTCAACTTGAGTGGATGATCATCTTACCCTCTGGTAAACTGACATTCCTATGGAGCATCCTGATTTTAAATAGCTGAATCATCATCATTAATTTAATAGAATATGTTCATGGGTTTCATTAGCAAAACATCACAAATCAACAATGGGTAATTGTCCATAGCTATGTCAACTTACCAGATTCCCTTGTGGAGTCGTCCGAGGCTGTGAAGGTCTTGAGCAAACCGGCCTTCGCTTGTCGCGGCATTGAGTCGCAGATCTGCTGGCGTCCCAGAGATATCAACTGCCAGAGGGAAGATTTGGGCTATGGGAAAATCGTGGGAAAATGATGGTACATGTTTAAACCATGGCTTAGGCCTCAAGCCTTGAAAAAAAGACACGCCCATGTTGTTTCCTGCTGTTTTCCTTTCTACATGTCATCAACCCAGGAATAAACCCAAGCATGATTTATTAGTTATTAGTATTTGTCTTATTGCAGTGATTGTTACCATGGTGGTTTAGAATCTCTAGCGAAAGGTATGAACATCCCTACGTCTAGAGCGCTTCAGAGCCCAGTTCCATTACACAAATCACTGGATAGATCCTCTGGTGTTTAGCTTGGTGGAGATTTATTGCTTGGTGGTTCATATGTTCCACTTGTCATTGCCGTTGCATTCAATCCACCTCAGGGGCTGAATTAAGTGCATTGAAGCGGTGCGCAGAGGACGGTCGTGTGCGATTTGAGACGTTTCATATGTGAAGCTTTAACATTATTTTGCTACTCGGGTCCATACTCCAGTACTAACTAGTCTCATCTAGTATCTATTGTGGCAACTGATGTCACCATAGGGGCATAGGGGGATGGATCAAAGCCTATGACATACCAAATTTTTTGGATGATCCATAAACACCACCTACTGTATATTTTGTATTCCTCCTGGGTTTTGACTCCCACTGCCGCAGGACCCACAGGGCCGTGGCAGACGGGTGGCGCAACTACTTGAAGCAGTGCCTTGCAGCCAAAACTTTGTCTTTTTACCCCTTCGCACTTCAACGTACAGCTATGGAATATATGGATGAAAACAGCCCATGAAAATCGATTTACGATTTTTCTAAACATGATTTTTTCATATTTTTTCTAGCTGATTAAAAATTATCACATGGTAATGGTTTTGTAACCCAGAAATCCGCCGGCGCCAGGTGGATGAGAATGACATCGTCTACCTGAGGACGGGGCGTCTTGTAAGATGTAACATGGGTGTTTCAAATTATAGAGTGATATATATATAATTATATATGTGTATGTATATATATATGTGTACATAATGATATGTTTACATACATTGCAACCGAACAAACTTATGTATGTTTTGTTTTATATATGGTTGAACTTGTTTGTGTCAGTTATAACACACACATATATATATATATTGTGTGAGAACCAGCGCGCTATCTAGTAGGGCACCAAGTGCGAGAGCATCCAATAAAAACAATTTTAAGCACATAATAAATAAATAAATAACATTATTTTTTTTAAAATAGTTTTTCTTTTTTCTTATTTTCCAGATTGTTTTTTTTTTTTTAAATTATTTTTTTGTGTTAGTTTTATAGTATATACATGCATAATCATGCATATACATATGTGTATATATATACGTGAATTGGTGGCATTTGACGTATGATTCCACTGGGAGCCCCCCAACACTGGCATCACCTTTTGGCGAGGTTGGCTCTTTGCACCTGTGACTTGCAGCAGGCGATGGGGGTGCAGCCACTGGATACGGGTCAAAGTTAGGAACCCACAAATCAACCATTCATATTAATGGGGATGTTCCATCAACCCATGAAGCAGCCATGGCATGCCATTGGTATATTACTAATATTTATTAATTAATCTTTGATTATCCATTAATGGGTGTATTATTGGGTATATTTCCATGAATGGAGACATATGAATGGGTATCCGTATATATATATATATCAATGGGTATATCAACCGACCAATCAACAAATAAGTTATAAGTTACAATATTATACCATATTACCATATTATATCCCATATGATGCCATGGGGTCGCGTCATTGAACAGGATGAATGGAGACATATTAATAGGTATATGATTCCCAGTTCACTCATTTCCTTCCGAGGGACTTGAAACTTGCCATGACATGCGTCAGGTCATGGACTGCCGGGGGCGCTTGCAAGAGGTGCCGTTGCGGCGCGGGGGAGATTGGTCGCTTTAAAAGGTCCGGGAGGAGGATGACCTAGATTCCTTTAGATGAATTCGATAAGATTAAAAAAGTGTTTTTAGGTAGATTAGATAGATGGATAGATAGATTGATTGATTGATTGTCTGATTGATTGATTGATTGATTGACTGATTGATTGATTGATTGATTCATTGATTGATTAGATAGATGGATAGATAGATAGATTGGTTGATTGACTGATTGGTTGATTGATTGGATAGATAGATAGATGGATGGATAGATAGATAGATAGATAGATTAGATAGACAGATGCATGGATAGATAGATTGGATAGATGGATGGGTAGATAGATATATTAGATTAGATTTGATAGACAGATGGATGGTTATATACATAGACATTGATTGATTTGATTTGATCTGATTTGATTTGATTGATTGAATGATTGATTGATTGATCGATTGGTTGATGATATAGACAGATTGATAGGTAGATTGATAGCTTGATAGATTGATACATTGACAGATTGATACATTGATAGATTGATTGATATATTAATATACATATAGAGATTGATTTATAGATAGATAGATAGATAGATAGATAGTTAGATATTAGAGATGTTATTGGGATTATTTGGATTTGATGGATTAGGTCGGTTAAATAGATTGGATATATTGAATAGATTACATAGATTAGGTAGATTAAACAGCTTAGACATATTAGATAGATATATAGATGGATGGATGGATGAATGGATGGATCAACGGACGGACAGACAGACAGACAGATAGATAGATAGATCAATGGATGGATGGACAGAAAGATCATTGGATAGATGTACATGTACTGATCATGTATCTTTTTACACATATAATGGGTGTGGCTCAAACTGGGGGATTTTTTAAACCCAAGGTTTGGCCTTCAACGGGACTTCCACATTTTCCACGGTAAATATGCGATGCTCTAAACCATGGAGTGGGCGTCAAATGACCCCAAGTGGGCATTTCACAGCCCAAAGACCCAAAGAGTTTAGTATCTCACTCCTATTATTTTTTAATGGGCACTTCGAGGGCCCAGGTTTTTCTTGATGGGAGTTATCCATCTTGGTATGGGAAGGGTTCAAGCTGGTGGATTGTGCCGTTAAAAAGCGACTTGCTATAACAAGTCAATCACATATATAGATAGAAGATACATAATCTAATTGGAGGAACACACAGTATCAGTTTTCAAATTACTGCGCCAAACCTGATTGACACTTTTAAATCTATCCCAGTGAGGGACTGGTAGTAGTAGTGACGCTGGTTGGGAAGTCCTCTAAGTATGGGTTAAGACAAAGATCTCTGAATCAGTATATCATTTGTTATATGATAATTCTGTATCTATATACATAAACTATAAAATTCATCCCATTTTTTTGTTTGATGTGGGCTTCGTCTGGCAAGATTGGGATGGCTCAGCCAACAATACATAACAAAACAGTGCGGCAAAAACAGGGCTTCACCAGTAACAAATGTCTGGTAAAGCTAGTTAGTATTTTTCCATGTAAACCATTAAACAAAAATCCGCTAGTTAGTCTTATTCCATGTAAATACACCATTATGTATACGTATATACATATTATACATTAATTAATTATATCCAAGATTATACATATGTATATATGATATTATATGGAGGATTATCATCATAGTCTCCATATATTATCCATATATTATCCGGATATTATCCAAATATGAGCCACATATGATCCAAATATGATCCATATTACAAGAACCATATCCAACATACTATCCATATCTATCTATATCTATCTATATATATATTATCCATATGTATATATATATATCATACTGTATTAGATCTCTTTTTTTTATCCCCTGGTCATCCCACTTTTTCTGCAGACGGATGGGCGCTTCTGGGCGGCCCAGCTCATGGAGGGCCTGCAGGACGGGATTCCAGGGGTTTTCCTGGGAGTTGTAGCATGGGTAACTGAGGATTTCATGGGTAAACGGAACATATATGGCATATTATGGTAAATTGTGGTATATATATGTATATAATTGCATATACATATATATATAATTTATCTATACATGGAATTCATCAACATATGGAATTAACAAAGAAATTTGGTTTTTGATGACAAAATGGTAACCAACTTGGTGAGCAGAATCAAAGATACCATATATTTTCACGGGAATTTAGCCACCAACATATGGAATTGACCAAGAAACATGTGGTATATTATGTGGTGTTCCTTTTATATATATATATAATATATACATATCCATTGCCATGAGGTGTTTAAAACTTAGCCAATGCCATACTAATATCCATACACCATCCCCAAAATAATGATTGGGCTTACCACATTAATGGATACAGAGGATAAGATATCATGGATAACATGGGGATGAACAGAAGAATAACATGGGGAATTTGATGACGAATGGAAATCATCCGTATTGGATGATATAATATACATATAATGAAACCCTAAATCCGTGTGGAGATACTATATAGTCCTTGGATATAAGGGATACCACTATTATTTGAATAACGATGTGATATCATGGAGAAAATCGTGGATATACTGAGGATTAACTTAGAATGTTTGGGATTTTAATGACAGACAAAACGATGAGGATTTAATGTGGGTATGATATTATGATTGGATATAGTTTAGCAACGCTAGGTAGCCAACCACAGTGTCATCACAAGTTCTGATGCGTTTTTCTTATTATTAGTATTACTTGGTATTAATGATAAATGTAAATTGGTGTTAATAATTGGATATTAATGGCATATAAAGCCAATATGACATGTGGGTTTTAGACCCGAGTTGGGCGATTCAGCCTCAAATTATGGCCATCAGCCTCAACGTTGAGGGAGAGCATGATGAAAATTCACTAGTGTATACCTGGCTTTCAAACAGACCCTTTAAAAAATGCTAGCGCCGATATAGATAATGATGGTAATAAAGTTAGTCACGATGAATATATTTATTGTCAAGGAACTTACGAGTAGCCTTATGGCATCTATGGGTAATCATGAGGACTGGAAGACAACTTTTGAACTTTAGACATGACGACATTGCCGCATCTTTGATGTTCATGTACCTGCGGTTTTCATGTGTCCCTGGAAATTTCAGCTATGTTTAGGGCCTAAAGGAAGAAAACGTGTTTCTCCCTATATGCTGGGCTAAAAGCTTATGTTTCCAGTTTCCAGTGTTCAATTTCCCAGTTAACACATCCATTGAGATGTGAATCGAATCCAGTCATCTTGCGAGGTTATTATGTATAATGAATGTAATGATGTCAAATATGGTTGGATTCAAATTTGATTCAAATGACAAGAATGAACGTTACTATATGCGTTTATCAAAGTTGCCATCATTTTTTTTCATGTCCGGGAAGTCTCGATCACAACGATCCAATTGGTGAAATGTGATGGTCCTGATCAGCCATGGGATGGTCCTCACTGACGAGTGATATTTTAGTGATGGGTTAAAGCCACCTACCAATTGATGTTTGACATGTAAACGATTTGACTACTTGATTTTTGCAGTTTGTCCTGATTTTCATATAATGTATAATACATTCTAATACATTATAATACCCTGTAATGTGTAAGTCAATCCTAGAACCTGGATGATAGTCTTGTCACTCCATATGCTATACCGTGTTGGAATATGAAAAATTTGCCTTCGGCAAGCCCGGCCATCGCAGGTGAGCCCTAGCTGGTTGGAATATGGAAAGCAACACGAAGCAACAGTTGTCCCAAAGAGTAACTCAGAAGAACATATGGATATGGATCAATACCTATTAATACCATTTTTAGTGGGATGAACATCCATTTACCAGCTATTTTGATGTTCACCAGGGGTACCAGGTTTTGACACACAACCATATGTATATACCTGGGATGTATTTTTGATGATGATGGAACGGCATCCTTTTTGGCTCAGACACGCCGTGCGTAAGCACGGTATAAGAAAATCTGATTGACCAGTCCCGAGCTTCAACTCCCAACCAATTGGCAGAATTTACTGTAGCAGCAGATGAGTGAACGGGGACTATTTGCCTGTCAATCGCTGCATACCCATGCACTTTCTGTATCTTTCTGTTTCCCCTCCTCAATTCATTACCGGGAGAAAAACCATGAAGAGCAATGTTACCAAACTTGGATGTTGCCAAAAATAGCTAAAACATCCCAGTCAAAAAGGGTTAGTTATGTGACCCACTAACGATTTGGCTGCTTGTGGCAACATCTCGCCTGATCTCGCGCAGGATCTTCATTCCTTGAACATCTTGCACCGGGACTGAGGGGGGAGGATTGTCACAATGTGGGCCCCCCTAGTTATGAGTTGGTTCACAAACCCCATCTGATTGGTGGTTTGGAACATGTTTATTTTTCATTATGTTTCCATATATTGGGAATAATACTCCCAACTGACTAATATTTTCAGAGGGGTTGAAACCGCCAACCAGCCATTAACTACTCGTATCATATAGTTACAAGATGTTACAAGTATCATAAACTATTGGAGTTATAAACCGACTTAGCTATCTAGGGAGCCCCACTTTGCAGCTGACTTATCCCATGGATCGCACTTGGATATAGCTCTGAATTGTTGGCTTTGTGATACATGCTTCTGTCCGTTCCGATTGGGAAAACATGATGAACAATGAACATGGCGATTCCCCCGTCCAGGGCCCTGCCTCCCCCAACACTGCAATGTTTTTTTTAAAGCCATTTTCTTCTTGATGAAACAGAACTGAAATCACCACTTTGATTGGAGTAACCGAGTAACCCCCTGGCATTTTTCGAGGGGTTCACTTCCAAATCACACTGGTTTTGGATACACCGCAGGACATCAAACCCTCCAACTTGCTGCTGGACGACAGCAACCTGCGGATCACAGACTTCGGTGGGGTTTTTTCCAGCCATGTTTGATTAGCGAAGGGCAGTACTTAGTACTTGGGAGATCTTGGGAGCGCAGTTACAGTCAGTTGCTCACCATAGTTGGTGATACCTGGAATTTCCCGAGGCATATACTGTATCCTGGCAAGGGAATGCAGCTTGATGAAGACCATCTACTGTGCCACCGGCGCCTTCTTGTCATATATTGAATGCTTGTTTAATTTGGGCCCCATATCGACGGGAGTGCAAATCCCATAGCCATAAACATAACCCCAACTGTACCCCCAAGTACTGGGTCAACCGTGGATGCTGACCAGTCGTGGAAGGAGCTTCAACGGATCCAATATCAGAGATTGGGAATGGAACCAAGCTGTAAGTGGAAGGTTGGTGGATATCTCAAATGTCCCTAATCTGGGATGATGGAGTCACCTATAAGCCTAGGATAGCCTAGGTATAAGTTATCATGTTTTATAGTTTCACTCTACCCTTGGTATACGACCATGGATCGCGTTTTTTTTTGTTGTTTTAATCATGTTGGTGTAAAGCAGACCATTTATTTAAACATCTATTTTGATATGTTGGGATTGGTGACATGTTTCATCTTTGGGGTTTGAACATCATCGGTGAGCATATAATGTTACAGGGTGCTGCCCTGATGTGCCCGAGGGAATGTATCAAGACCTATTCCCGGTGTCCTCAATCATGGCTAGCTGGGAAATCCCCTGCAAATGAGCAATGAAATGGGACAATCATCCAACTAAATGCGGGATTTTCCGCTATGTTCATGTATGACGACGAGAGAGTATACTATACCAGATATATATATATATAATTATATAATTGTATATTGGAGACATGAACATTCATCCACTTGCGAAACCATGTTGCCATGTTATAGACCTTGTTACCTTGGTGCTTTGTGTTGCATTGATTTAGTGGGTTGATGCTTAACACGGGGCATATTGTTGGCGATGGGCCCGGGCCCTTCTGTGATTGCTGGTTCACAAAACACCCTGTGACAGATCTGTTAAAACGCTGAGGCTATCATATATAGGCTATCCTATTTCGACCTAGGAGCATGGTGCATCACTGCAGCGCATTCCATTTGGGCTTGTCCGACAAACCCATTGATAGATCCTAACCTGCATAGCCCTAGGACTCATCAAAGAAAGGAAACACACTGAGTCATTGCTGGGAGGTTGGTGCTGCGACCTCTCCGATTGCCCGAGGGCTCTCGCAGGCACCCTATGTATATGTATATATACATATGTATACACGTATGTATATATATATACTGTATATGGAAATTGCAATTTTGGGTGCATTGCGTGTTCTGTTTTTCCGAACAAAAGATTGATGTATGTGTTTTGGATGTCCACAATTTTTGGACAAAGCTAGATACTGCAGTTGTTTCTCAACAGCAAAAGCCGCTACCTATCAAGCACCGCTGGGCTCTGATTTCCAGCCACAGTGATAGAGTTCTGGATGCGTTCATTGGACGATTGGTTTTTGTGTACAAGCTCACGGGTTGCATACCAATGTAAATGGAGATGGTCGAAGATTCCATGAGAACGGGCTTATATCTTCATGCGCATACTTCAGAGGAATCTCCAACAGTGTTCCATCTCCATATTTGGTTTTGGGGATGGATGGGTATATACCCATGATTGATTGTATTTGGCTGCTTTTCTTGATCCGACAAACATCGATAATGTGCCAGTTCCCTTGAGATCGATCATGACTGTTGTGGCTGCTTCCACAGGTGGTGCAAATTAGAAGACCGAGTCATGGCGAAATGACTACCATACTACCAAGTCATGTAACCAAGTCATGTAAGAGTCTCTAACACATAGTTCACCAAGATCTACCAATGATCTACCAATATCTACCATTATCTACCAATGATCTACCAATGATCTACCAATGATCAATTGTGTGGATTCATTGGCACTTGCATATAGTTCACCCATGTTCACCCACAGCCGCATGCCCTCCGACCAGGTACCTTCCAGTACATGGCACCAGAGGTTTTGAAACAGGAGCCACAGCTGGGGATCTCAGCAGCTTTTGCTGTACAGATTTTTTTCCAACCCTGACTGGATCTGTTTGTCACTGGACACATCTGATAATTATGAGAAACCTAGGTAAGCTGGTAATTATCAGATAATTATCATAATTAGTCACTGGACCATAATTACCTATGATTTTAAGCTGGTATCTCAAAACCATTTCAAGCTTCTCATAGCTTTAATGTGGAACATTGACCTCAGTGACATACCCGACATAGAAATATCTGGTTAGTGGTTTGGAACATGCCGAATATTTTCCATAAGATATGGGAAATTTATGGGGATAATATATATGGGATATGTTCCATAATATATGGGATAATCCTTCCTATTGACTTTCATATGTTTCAAGATGCTTAAGACCACCAACCAGTTATGTTTTGGTTCGTCTCCCACCGGGCAGAGAACGCAACAAAGGAAATCAGGATCTCCAGTGGCTTGCTTCATGTTTCCACATTTCCAACCTTTCTGGATACCTCCAGTTTCTCAACTTTTGGATGAACATTTTAGCACATATATGTATATTTATGTATTGATATATAGAGATATACTATATATATATACAGTATATGTATTTATATGCAAATACATGTGTATTTTTACATATATATATATTATATACGTAGACATAGATTCCCTTTGATTTCCATCGGGAGGTTCTTAGCCCAGGTCAGCAGCTGTGGACCTTTGGAGCGCACCTTGCCGGATGTGTCTGTGGTGTGAGCCGGTAGCCAGCAACAGATATATAGGTATATAACGGTATTAATAACGGTTTTGTGGGTTTCTCATGTAATAACAGTTTATAGAATGTCAGATTCATATATTTTTCCTAGATTTTCTTTAGGTTGTTTTTGACCCCTTTTGGGAATTGCACGGGGAATGGAGTATATCAGCAACATGATATCAACAATAGGCAGGAGATGGAGATCTATCTCAATCATCCACGGTAAACCTTGGCTAGTCTTGTACTTTAGATAATTAGACTTAGATATTTTGCCAAACATGGGAATACTTTACAGCATTCACCAGCTTTGTTTTGGCAGGGTATCTAAGCTGGGCCATTACGCACATTTGATCATAATTGATCATATATAAGCTTCCTGGGCCAACAACTACATATCAGAATCATACCTGGATGATTCTAGCAATATTCATCCACATATAGGTAGGTAGATCATGATACCACACATGGATGATTTGGACATGGTTTCCACAACGTTTCCATCACGTTTCCACCAGCGCGTTGGCCCGAGGCGGGTGTGACGTTGATTCAACTCTTAACCGGGCACCACCTCATTCCAGGCGAGGCCAAACTTACCTTCCAAGAAGGCCTCTGCTTCGAAGAGGCTGCTTCTAAGAAGCAAAACCCTTCTAAGCACATGCAGCTTCTAAGTGCTTCCGCGAAACAAAAAAACACATCCATCCCACGTTCCCACCAGAACCGCCTCCCTTTAGATTGGACCCTCATAGATAATTATGCTCTTTACCAACAAACAGAAATGAAACACGGAGATGAAAAAGCATGGCTAGTAAGTTAGTACTAGACATATCCTGAAGTACAAACATGTCCAATGTTCTGTGGTGAAGCATTTCAGATTCCCAGAAGCAAGGTGTCAAGCTGAGTCCCTGTCCTGAAAAGTCACGCAGCGTCTTGGAACAGGAGTGGTTATCACCACATCAATTTATGGGTCAACCATCTGGATGAGCAATTGATATGATATATTATGACATAATAAGTTATTCTCGCGTGACATAGCTGTGGATGCACGAAAACCAGCTATTTCTGTAACCATGTTGAGGACCATTTTCATTTTTTTGTGTATCTAAGATTGGCCATGATGATAAACCACTGGATTTTTGAGGATTCCCAGTTTGAAACTCAGATGGATTTACATACATATGTAACATGTGTATACATGTGTATACGTATATGTATATATATATGTATATATATATATATATACATATATATATATATACATATATATATATACATACATATATATATACATGTATAATACATAGATATATATTTATATATTATATATAGATTACTAGTACAGTATATGTGTTTCAAAAGTGCATTCGGTTCACCACCAGAGCAATACAACACCCAAAACAGCTGAATGGGGTGAAGTCATTACCGCGGATGCCAGGGTACCCCAAGAGCTGGATGGTTTATTTCATGGAAAATCCCCAAATGAATGATGACTGGGGGTACCCCTATATCAGGACATCTCCACTTGGACTTTGTTTTGAGTTCGAAATTGCCACGAAATTGCCAATCATGCAATTCCAAAGTTCATGAACTTGCATGTAAAAAGAGCCTGTTGCTACTCTGGATCTACAATCCCGGCAACGGGAAATGTGTATCCAATCGGATAAACATCCTCATCCATAGACTGGTCGTGTTCCATTGTGAGTCAGGTTTCTTTACGGTACCCAGTTTGCTGGTGTATGGTTCAAAACATCAACCACCATCAGTCGTGCTACTGTTCTTATTCTACAAGTTTATTTTTGGTTTTCAGAAGCCGCTCAGAAGCAGCAATTCTTTTTGAGAGCGTGCCAGTAAAATCACCAGGTAGATAGACTATTACATCTATTACGCAAACAACATACATATATATATATATATGCATAACATTATATAACAACATGAAGTAAATATTGAACATCTTACATCAAAAGAAAAAGACATTGTTCTGCTGGTATCGGTAGCAGAAAAACCCTCTGCGCAAGATCTGAGATTTCAGTGGTGAAGCCACCAGGCTCAGTCTCTACGTGTCCGTTGTACATCAACTTTTCCACTATAGGCCCCTCCTTGATATTTTTGGTGCAATATATAATATCATAATAATAATAATAATATATATATATATATATTCACTAAAAAGTGGAGCCTCCAAGTTATAGGATGGTATAATTTGGTTTACACAGCCATCCAAATGTAAATGTATTCACAACATGAACCACCTGTGAACCTAGTGATGTTTACCATCATACTTACTTGGGAGTGCATCACACTTAGTAAATGGGTTTTACCCCAGTTATGTATGGAATATTCCCATTTATATATGGGATTACATGGGTTATATACAAATATGTATTATAAACCACTTACCATATGGTTCGTGGGATGCACATCCAAGTATAACATTGACATGGCCGTCCATTCGGGGTGCCAAAACGATGCCATGCCAGTCGGTTGCCAGTCATTTTGGCACGATGCCAGGTCCAGTCTCTGGTGTGAGTCATGTGGATCCTCAACGGAGCACTACCATCAAGGCCTGAGATCCACCGACTGGAAAGAGACCTGGAAGGATTTTCACGTGTGTGTGTGTGTGTGTGTGACATGTTTATGTAAAAATAAAAGGTAACATATGTATAATATATATATATATAATATAAATAGAATTCTATATATAATGGAATGAAATATAAAATAATATATGCATTTGTTCTCCAACATCTAGTCTATGCTGAGCCAAAATTCCACGTCTGTCATGAACTGAATAACCCATAGCAACGCTTCTATCCTGGGTCAAAAAGGACCAAGCCGCGCTGCCGTTGTGGGACAATGAGGGGCCCCTCGACAGCGACGCCCTTCGGGCTTTCTTCTTCTTAGCGCACGGCTGCCATGCAGCCCTTGACGAGCCGAAGAAGGTCGAGGCGCAACCTGAATCGAAGTCATGCTATGATTGGAGGTATGTATGAAATATTTTATGTTTATGTGCTATGTTTTGTCCTTTTAGCTGATTGCACGGAGGTGGCATATTTGCGTAAGCATGTATGAAAATGTGAATGATGATGATGATAATTGATCATGATGATTAGGATGAGAATGGGGATGAAAAGGTCGCGGACGATGATTCCGAGCATGATAATGTTGCGGAAGATGTGGCGGAGGGGGATGATGTTGCGCGAGGATGATGTTGCAGAAGATGAGGTGGAAGATAATGATGTGCAGGATGATGATATTGAGGACGATGAGGATGAAGTTGATGATGCGGAGGATGAAATTGAGGACGATGAGGTGGAGGAGGATGCTGTTAAGAAGGAGGAAGATGCTGAGGATGGGTGTGTTGAGGAAGGTGATGACCACATGATAATGTTGCGCTAGATGAGGCGGGGGCGGATGATGTCGCGGAAGAGGAAGTGGAGGATGATGATGTTGAGGATGATGATGTGAAAGGGGGTAGAGAGGATGATGATGTCGAGAACGGTGAGGAGGAAGATGTTGATGTTGGGGATAATGATGTAGAACAACATAGGTAGAACAAAATGTTAGCTTTCCCGTTCGATTGATTCCGTGAAGAGACCCTGAGAGCAAAATCTTCGGCCAGGCAGCAGCGGTCGAGAAGGCGACGCTAGATGCCTGGAGCGAAGCGGGGTTCAGGCGGCGTTCGCAAAAGCTCACCGCACAGCTAGCACAACTGCTGCAGCAGGACTGGGAGTTTGACCCGGGAACCCGGGCATTCTCCCAGCTCCCGTATAATCCTGCTTGGTTGGGGCAGGAAAACCCCACGCTAGGGCGTGTTTTTTTCCCTCAGGCCAACCTATGCCTGTCCCGGGCAGCCGGGCAGGCATATGGGCCTTCTGTGCAGATGTGGCAACGACCGTGCTGTCCCTGCTGGAAGCTAAAAGAGCTTTTGAGGGCCGGGGACACAGACGGTTTGATTCGCGCACTGCAGACGCCCCGGCGGCGCTCTGCAGCCAGGAGCCTTGCCACGATCTCTGGCAGAACGTGGCTGCTGGATTGAGACACCATAGGTGTAAACCATCAAGATTGAGGTGTCTAGAATCCCTCCCACCCTGGGGTTGCCGTTGAAGCTTTTAAAATCATCACCACTATGATTTTGGAACCCTGACAAGCTATCAAATTAGAACCTTGAAAGTTTGGATATATGAGCCTTGTTGTGGTACAAATTGATTCCAATAGACCACAAGAAAAAGGTCATTGATTTGGAGTGCTGAAAAAAAGGAACCAAGTTGTGATGAGGTATCTGCACAAAGGTGCAAAGCATGTTTGCAATTAGCATCCCTGGTTTCGGTCGATCAAGATTTTCATTTTCAAAACCAGGCGATTGCAACGTCGCTTGGCTTGAAATGTCTGAAAGAGAGGAGGTAAAAGGGTGTTGAGCCGCTGTAGCAATGTGCAGTGATAAACGCTGTCTTGAATTATATCTGGCAACATCCGCAATTGAATAAAAGGACCGGATAACCCCACATATCAATTTTTTGCAAGAATGGGCAACAAATGTTGTAGCGGGACGGGCAAGGCAGGAAAGACAAAGGAGGTGGTGGATGATCGAGAAGTAAAACAAGTTGTATGTGATCATAAAAACAAAGACAGTTTATACATAAACATAAATCATATGTTGATGCATACCGTATATTTTTTTGTGTACATACTTAGTCACACTTAGTGGTATTCTGTGACGAAATCGTTTCCCAAATGGGAATCCAATGGTCCCATGGTCCCATGTGGCTGAGAATCCCATCCCCTTAGATATTGGGAGGGGGGTGTTGTGAGCGCCAACATGTTTGCATGTTTGACATTTCGTTTCTGCAAAAGATACCAAACCCTGTTCTTTCCAGAACCAAACATTGTTGCTTCTGTAACAAAAGCAACCACTGTGCATTCTCAACAGCTCTCCCAATGTCCTACATAGATACATAGTTTCAGCCAAAGCAAACATGAATAATAGATAAAAACAACAAAACAAACAAATGTAAGTGCCTTTCCAAAGAGTGCAGCATTGCTTTAAAAATGTATAGACTCTACATCTCTACAGGAGTTTCCCTCAACATATGCAATACTTCTTTTGGACATGTGCATTCTAAACAGGTACCAATTTATGCAATATGTTCTCTATAAGCAATGAAGGAAAAATGAATTTGCAAACTGCGCTTGTAAAATAATTTTGCATAAAGAACGCCATTCCTCAATGTAACAGTCCCTTTGCAAAAAGTGTGGCAGTGTTTGAACGATAAGTAGCATTTAAAAAATGTGCATTTTAAGCAGGCACCAATTTATGCAATATGTTCTCTATAAATAATGAAGGAAAATAAACATGCAAACATCACTTGTAAAAAGACTGTGCATAAAGAACACCATTCCTCCATGTATGCAACAACCTTTTGCAAGCATTGTTGCATTCTTTGAAAGATGTGTAGCATTACTTCACAATTTCAAGGAGAACTCTCCTATGTATGTACTGAATGATTTCAGAAATCATAGCATTCCTGTAGGAAAAATGTACTATGCTGGTTTGCAAGATTGAATCTATTCTTGAATTACTACAGCGTGGTTTTGAAAAGAGTGCCATCTTACTGACACATTGAAACATGTGTTTTACCTTTGAAAGTGCAGATTCTTGTTTGCAAAGTGGGCAACATTATTGTAAGGAAGTGTATCAAGAGCCTACTCTAGATTCCATTGATGATGCAAAAGCCTGTTTTTAGAATATGTGTTTTTTGTTGTAAAGCAAGTATTGCAGCACCTTCTGCAGCATATCCTTTCAAAGAGTACAACTGTTCTATGGACATGTTGTTTTGTTTTGAAAAGGGTGCTATGTGACTCGACCTTCAAAAGGTCTTCAAAATGTGCAATATCTTTTCTTTGTGAACAAAGTAGAATATGGCTTCAAACAATGCGCAGCAAATTGTAATTATGAATTCTCTCATGGAACATGATAGATTTTTACATACACTGAAACATGAAGAATGTAATGTTTCATTACATGTCTGCGGTGACGTTTGCACACTTTTGAAATTGGCAAGAAACCTGTCAAAACTAAACAGTGCAGATTCACTTGAGGACATGCAGAAATCTGTTTCAGTGAATAGTTCACTCATCGATTCTGCAGTTCAGCATTGGCCGATGTATCTTTCATTCATGTTTGTTCACGTTGCTTTTCTGGTTTATAGCTTCGAGTGAAGCGCAGTGGCAAGTGCCACAACACGACATGGCAAGTGCCACAACAAGACATGGCATTCAGGACTCAGTTTCAAACTTGACATGTCGTTTAACCAGTGAAAGCAAACATGGACAATTTCACAATCATCTGCATCATGTTTACTGTCATTTTTTTTCGTCCCACCCATTTTCATCCCATCCCACATTTCATTGCTTCATGTGATGCAATGATTTACACGATCCAAGTGGATCTCACTTTTTCATTTTCACATTTTCAGCCATCATCATGGCCGAACCGTCGTTACAAGCTCTCTTTCATCATGTGTTTGTCACCCAGTCGTTCCGTCATCAGCTGCAGAACGCAGAGGAGTTTATCACCGACATCTCGGATCATCTCGATGAGCACGAGATACCACATGAAGACGTCTATATGAATATTCGCACTGGGATCAGGCAGTTGCGCATTCATTTGAGCTTCCTTCTCGCGATTCAGCTGCTCGAAGTTTGTCGTCAGTTGGAACGACATATGCAAGTTCACGGACGATTGCCAAATCTCGACCTCGACTTCCAGTGACAACACTCCGAGAGCTCTATTTATTTTTTTTTCCGATTGCATCCGATTTAGCGCTGCTGAGCCTACCCGCGGCCAGAGCGCGATGCATGACAGAGACCATTTCTCCCCATTGACAAAAAGAGAGAGTGCGGCAGCAGTGATTTCATTATTTTTTTGGTGTTTTTTTTTCACAGTGAAACAAACAACGTGTGAATTTGAACGGCGTTAGTCACCGCAGCGAATGTTTCAAGCTATGTAAAGATTATAAATCTTAATGCAAACTTATTCAAATATAATCATGGCAATGTAAGCAAGTGCTACATGCCTATGAAAAGAGTGCAGTAGCACAACTACCTACAATATCTCTTTCAAACTAGTGCAGCATTTGCTCGAAAAAAAGTCAAATTACTGCAAACTGTGCAAAATCTGTGTCAATCAAGGAAAGCCTTCCTTTGAAGATGCACATATGTATGTGTATGTGCATATATATATATACATGTGTGTCTATGTATGTATATGTAGTTTTAAAAGTGAATAGTTTCTTGGCAAATCTGTGTAGCATCCCTCCAAGAAAGTGTAACATGAGTCTACAGCAGATTCCATCGATGATGCAATAATGCTTGAGAAGATGGTCGTATTACTTCAGCAAAGTGTGCCACCAATTTATGCAACATGTTTTTCAATAAAATATAGCATGAAACTAAGGTTATTATCTAGGACATGGCCGAACATTTCAAAAGAATTGGAACACACAGTCTACAAAAAGGTGCAGATGGCTGAAAGTTTCCAAAACAAAAAACATGGAAAAAACAAAAAACTAAAAAAGTTTCAGAGAGTCTTGGCTGGGACACCCCCCCCTTCCAAAGAGTCTAGAAATATTGTGTTTTTTGTTTTTCCAAGGTTTTTACCAAGTGTGGGGTACTTCAAGGAAACTGGCATGAATCACAGGCAAAGCTGTCAAAGTGCCTTGGGGAATGCAGTAAAACATCCCAAAATATCATCTTAAATCATGGGAAAACTGCACTCCCAGGGGGCTGCCGTTCTGCATAAGAAAGCCAAGAAGCATCATGAGTGGATAAACGACTGCCAAACACACGCGAATGAGAGCAATTAGGGATAACAGCAATGCCAGGACCTATCCTTTAGTTTTCTGTTTAGGGGGGAGCTGAGAGCAAAAGTAGTTCATTGTTTGGGATGCGTTAGAGAAGGGATGAAGCAGAATTGATGTGGATTAATCTGGATTAATCCTGGGATGCAAAACTTCGAAAAAACAAAAAAAAACAAAAAAAAAAGATTTGGCAACTAGTCCAGACATCAGAGTAGTTGTGGAAACATTGTTTTTTTTTTTGGTTCGCTCCAGTCGAAAGGAAGAAGTCGCGAGTCAATCCGCGAATCTTCGCAGGACTATAAGCACTGCGAAGACGACAATTTTGCAGTTCGGGTTAGACGATTGCGCAGTTCGGGTTGGAGGATTGTGTAGTTCGGGTTAGACAGCAGACAGCAGACATTGGTTGCTTAGTATATCAAATGATTCGTCCTACTCACACAGGCTGTTGTGAGCGCAAAAATACATGAAACCATCCATAGTATCAAGGCTATATATCCCCAAAATGTCGTTTTTTTAGCGCTCACAACACCCCTTTCTGGAAATATTAAACACACCCGAGAAACCATGAAGAGTGCTTTATACATATAAATATGTATAGATTTACATAGTCATTAATATCCATTCTATAGTCATTATATGTATAATATACCATTAATCTTATGACTATATAGATTAATTTGGTATCCATTCTATAGTCATTCGATCCACTGCAGTCATGTTAGAAAAGGTATGACCTTTCTGGGGCATCAAGCTTTGCAAAGGTGGCGATGTTGTTGAAAGAGATTTCCAGGCGGGAATCCAGGTCTGGAAATTCGTGATTTGCCATTTAATGGGAATCAACGGGATTTTTCCGGCCAAAAAACAGACTAAAAAAGAAATCTTGGGATATCAAGTGATTTAACTGGATTTAATGGACAACGGTTAATTATACATCTTGGAACATAATGGAGTGTATAATGGGATTTACTCGGGTCTTTGATGGGGACTTAACCAACAATAGTCAGAAATGATCATATAATCCTCTCTCCCTATCACTAACCCCCCAGATGGTAAACACGGTGATCTATTTTTATTATTAGGGGGTAATGTGTATTAGAGCGCCCCTAATATTCCAATGAACACCATCATAAAAAAATACAAAACAAAATTTGAGATTTGATTAAATCCCTTTTTAAAATCTATATAAGATATTGCCAGAAACTGGATTTCGAAGCTTGCCCTTAATATTCCAATGAGCACCTTAATGGCAACAAATAAAAAACATTCGATTTCAAATTTGATTACTGTAAGTCCCTTATTAAAATCTATATCAAATATAATCAAAAACTAGATTTCGAAACTTTTCCCCAATATTCCAATGAAAACCTTAATGATAAAAATAGAAAATAAAACTTGTGAGATGGGACCCTAATAATAAACCTCCAGGTGGCAATCCATCTTTATCAATAGGGGGTTGAGCCCATTGTTTCACCATCCTGTTCTCCTATTGATTCTCAATTACCAAAATTAAGAATCCAATTGCGCCCAACCAAGAAAAACCGGAAGTGCCACACCAATTCAGTCCTATGTTTTTTATTTGGGGGAGTTTTAGTAATAGGAAGGGATTGCTAATTGGGGCTAAAAATGGGGATACGAAAAAAATCAACAGCAGAGATTTCATCGGTCTGGGAATGGGGTATTCCTCCAATATGTATATATATATGTATATATGTATATATGTATATATTATATATAATATATATATATAATATATATAATATATATATATATTTAATACATATATATATAATATACATATATACATTATAATATATATATATATGGCAATGTTAATGGACAAAATGATGATTAACCATTGGATTTGGGGGGATTCTTCCCACATATTCGGGTGGATGGTCTACTTTGGATGCTCTAACTGGGCTGGCGATGTTCTTTTTTAATGTTTGAACGGCAGCACAACATTTGGGCTTTGTTCATAGACTGAAGTGGTATCGCTAAATTGAATTTGTGCATATTTGTACCATGACCACGGCACATCAGTCTGCATACTTCAGAAATCTTCAGAATACATCCAAGAAAGCTTTCAAAACTTTCTGCATTCTGTTTAATTTCCCCCATCTACCAGTGTTAGAGGGCCTCAACCTGTAGACTAAACTAAAGACCTGGCATTTCACCCTGAACAAAATGGTACTTTCACCATCTTTCACCCATGTTTATGGCAGCTTTTGGGGGTTAAGTTATGGCTACTGTACCTCACCATACTCCACCCGAGTCTGCTGCCAGATGTTGTCCTCTGGGTGACGCCTCTCGTCCCCAGTTTCTGTCGGAGATTTGCTGGGGTCGGGCAGCTCAGCTGGTGAGTCAAACTGGTTTTGCCCATCCACACGGGGTGTAACCAGGGGGACAGAGCATACAATGGGGCTAAGGTTGTGCACTGCAAGCCATGTGCCCATACTTTTGTACATATACACTATGGGGGTACCATATATATATATATATTACTATAAATAAATAAATATAGATATTATATATATATAATACATGCTGGGCCAAAGCGACTTTCATCATTCTCGACAAGGTCTGCTTGTAAGGGAAAGCAGACCTGCGCATTGAGAGGAACAAGCTGCAACGGCATGTCCTCGACTTGCTCTCTAAAGTGTCGATTTTCTACAGCAGGTGTTTGGGAGGCATGGTTGTGAGCTATGAGAAATGATCCAAATTCCCTATCAAATGGGAAGCCCTACGGAGCTACGAATAGAGTTTCCCAATCACATGATAGCAAAAGAGGGACATACCTGAAACAACTAACAATGTCTAACACTAGGTTTGTCTGAAAATGGGGTACAAACACCAAATGCAAAGGATTCTCATCAGTGTGCCCATTAATTCAAACCATTTTGATGGATTTTGATGGTATGAACCCTATGTTTTTTGGGCAAGCCCTCCAGCACTCCGACCTGGCAGTGAAGAGGGATGTTCCATCGACAGATGGAATTACCAGAGGGTAAACTGCAAGTTGAATAGTGCAGGTCAAGAGGAAATGGTTTTTCATGTCGTGCTTTTTCGCGAGGGGGCAGAGATGGGCAGAGTTTTAATCATGTGAAGATTGTGAAGCTTGGTTTGATAGGAGGCTGGCAGTTAGCCTCCATTTGGATGGAGGCTACCGAACCTGTATTTCTTGATGGGGTACAGTATCGACGAGGTTTGTTATTACGAGCAAACTTGGGTGAGCCATGAAAACATGGGGGATTGCTATCATGTTCATCCAGTGTGAGGGGATTTATAGGGATTAAAACCATCAGTACCCCTACCATTCCATACCATCTTGTGTATACGACTTACTTGTTTTTAACAGTTCCATACTATCCATATCATCCCAAACTTTCAAGTATTTTGGTTAAAACTAAACCAACTCACCACAATCTAATTTCAGTTTGGTGATTTCTCATAATTCAGCCCTAACTGCGGGGTTCATCCAAAAAAAACCTCCAGCCGCTGATATAGTACGCACTATATCCCCATTCTGATCCATTTGGGGCACAAAGTTGGCACACATTCCCACAAGAATCACCATTTGTTGTAGGTGATATGTAAATATATTTCGCAATATTCCTATATGATATCACCATTTTTCTTATTTTCCAGAAATATAGAACCATATCGCATATCGTTGGTTCTAAATGTCACTCAATTTCCATCATACCATCCAGTGTTTTGGTGACAGCAGATGTTTACTCAAAAATTCTGCAACTTAACTCATCTTCAATCCGTTTTTTCGTGGTGAAGCCTCGTAAATAATATAAGTCCCATCAAATCCCTCGTGGTTAGATCCCCATACAATCCCATAAACCCATATTTCATCATATTTCCACATAAAATCCCTATAGAAATCCACCATGTCGTTGTGCGGGAGCCCGGGAGCCTAGGCTTTCTTCGACAGTTGGTGGAGCCCACGGCGAGACGCCGGGCGAATGCCAACACCGCCATGGCTCGGGACGATAGAGCTGGTGCTAGGTGGGTGATGCTGGGTGTTTCAATGCAATACATGTATGTATATACATATAGTTCGTATACACGTATACGTATATGTAGATGTAGATGTATTAGTAGTATAGTATAATGTAGGCTAATCGTATAGACGTATAATGTGTATTTCTGTATATATATATATATTTGTTCATTGTATAGATGTCGTTTGGTTTGTTTTTTTGACCCGTCATGGCGTCATGGAACTCAGTCGAGATGCTCAGTAGGTTTCACTCCTATGCATACCCTGTAGATTTCAACATATTTGAGATGCCTCTTGGAGTTGGATGGTGGCAATGAACACCATTGATAGATGTAGAATCTATAATAACATATGTATATATATATATACATATATATGGAGGTTTCCTAAGTCACGGGGTACCCCCAAATCATCATGCAATATGAAATCCGGGTAAATTATAGTGACCTCACTGCAACCTCACTGGAATGATGATTAGTAAGAGGAATTATCCCAATATAGCCTTATTTCAGGTTACTGAAATGTTATAACCTAGTTTATGATTAGTTCCGGGATTATATTGTCCAATATGTATATTTTTTAAGTATATTCTCGCAATCCATTCACCGGGAACCCCATTCTTAATTGACTGGCAAAATGGAATAACATAGGGTTTTGAACACTGTTTAGATACATGCATACATCCATAAATACGACATAGAGACATAGATACATAGATGCATAGGTACATAGATACATAGATAGATAGATAGATAGATAGATAAGATAAGATAAGATAAGATAAAATAAGATAAGATAGATAGATAGATGGATAGATGGACAGATGGATAGATGGATAGATGGATAGATGGATATACGGATAGATGGATACATGGATAGATGGTTAGATAGTTAGATAGATTCGATAGATAGATTAGAATTGATTAGATTAGATCAGATCATATTAGATAAGATAAATAGATAGATAGATAGATAGATAGATAGATAGATAGATACGTACATACCCGTGACATGATTGACTGTATATAATGTATGTATAGGCATGTATGGAACAATATGCATGGAACATTTTGTATGTACATATAAATGTTTACATGCATACACATTTTCATGTGTGCGTATGCAATCAAAGCAATATTTCATATATCGTCATTTGTATTTCGTCTCTTTAAATGTGTATATTATATACATATAATATATATATATATGGCACATGATTATTATGGTATTATACTGTATATATATATTATGACAATATTTGATGGTAGTTGATGATGGAGATACCTTCCTGGCTGAGAGGGCACAGTGACTTTCCATTCATTTGGACCTGTTGGGTCGATTCAAAGCCTTACCCCCTGAGAAACACAGCCGGTGCAGATGTTGGAGACTGTGCAGGGTTTCCAAGTCAAGACTATCCATTCAAATCGCCAATGGAAATGGAAATCTAAGTTGGCAATGGAAAGTGCCAATATGGGTTGCCCGTCAGACATGTTGGATTGCCAGAGGTTCCAGGGGAGTGTTCGAAGCCAGCTAAACATATACAGAATATACAGCAAAAACTCTGGTTCCCTCAGCGAACATGGCCAGCGGACTGCAAGCGCGTCTGGTTTATGAGGCGCGCCTAGCTCCCTTGTGTGCCCCAGGTCCCTGAAGCTTACACGGCCAAATCAACATAGGTTCTGTTCACAATTCGCATGTTTGAGGTCTGCCAGCATGTCAGTGCCACCGTGGCCGCCAACCCAAGTTGCTCAGAATATCTGTTTGTGTGGGTTGAATTTGACGTTGTTGTTGTTGTTGTTGCTGCTGCTGCTGTTGCTGTTACTGTTGTTTCTGTTGCTGTTGTTTTTGCCTACGGCCCGAAAACCGGCCCAGCGTTTTTGCTTTTTTTGCGTTGTGATATGTTGGGGGGGTAGGGGGGTAATAACGTTCTTGGTCTTCGTTTTCTTCGACTTACGTTGGACACGTCTTCTGTACTTCGCTGGATGCACTGCATCTTACGTTGGACACGTCTATTGCCTGCAAGTTAGCCTGAAGAGAAAAGAAGTGCTGGCGCTGTGGCGAAACGCATACCCATCCAAAATACGACGTAACCTTTTTGCGAGGGTGTCCAACATACATTTTTTAGTTCCCACTGCAATAATTTTTTTTGGGGGGTAGATCTCAATAGAATTGCAGTACCAAAGGACACCAAGATTATTGTAGACATGTGGCAAACCCCAGGCTTTGAGCAGAAAGAGACAAAGGCTGATCAAAAAAATGATGAAAACGCTGGACCGATTTCCGGGACGTACGGTTGTTTTTGTTCTTGTTGTTCTTGTTCTTCTTCTTCTTCTTGTTGTTGTTGTTGTTCTTCTTCTTCTTCTTGTTGCTGTTGCTGTCGCTGTCGCTGTCGCTGTCGTCGTCGTTGTGGTTGTTGTTGTTGTTGTTGCTGTTGCTGTTGTGGTTGTTTTTTTTTTTTGTTGTTGTTGTTGTGGTTGTAGTTGTTGTGGCTGTTGTGTTTGTTCTGATTGTTGTGGTTGTTGTGGTTGTTGTTTGTTGCTGTTACCAGCGCGGTTGCTTGTTGGCAGTGGTGATGGAACCACTCACCCGCATATGCTTAAGAACAATGAAGACTGGAACTTTTAACTCAAAGTCCCTATCAGATATATAAATACGATACATTACTATATTGTTGCAGGTTCCCCATGCCCAGTTGCCATCCTTGGCATGTTTTTCTGGGTTTGTTTGAACATAGTGGTACCTCCAAATCCGTCACTTTGGGCGGAGATATACCTCATTTGGAGGTTTCCTGAAATGGTGTTTTTTTTTTCCCAAATCATCCATTTTAGTTCGACCTTCCATTATAATCAATCCATGAACCTTCCATGAAATAGTACCATTCCATGATATTATTTATGACTGAAATAAACCATCCACCTATTGGGGTACCCCAATGACTTAGGAAAACCCCATGGATGAATCTCCAGGGCCAAGAGATCGGCGAAGAGACTGGGGGAATGGACCTGGAGGTCTCTGGGGACTCTGGGGACTGGGCACAGCCAGAGGTTGGGAAATGAAGCATGTCTGGGGAAACCCGAGATTGATAGTCTAGTCATAGTATTGTAAATATATATATATATATTATATTATATTATATATATATGTATGTATTATATATTATATATAAACTATAATATATAATATACAATCTATATAATAATATATATAATTATATATATAATAATATATATATATATAATAATATATATATATATATAATATATATATAATAATATATATAATATTATATTATATATAATATTATATTATATATAGTTATATATTTAGATATTAATTATACAAGCGTATATATATATATATATACATATACACAGTATATATATATATATATCAGAAATAAGTACGTGTTCAACTCCGTGTTCTATAAACACGTATATATATATATATATATGCATGGGAGAACTTAAGTTTCCTGTGAATTTGGTTTGCATTGACTCTAAGACTCTAGTCCTTGGGAAAAAATGTGGAGACTAAGGAGTTTCCGCTCAGGGTGAAGAGTTGTTCAGGATTGCTTGTCACCATTTGGATCTGTGCACGCTTACAAAAGATGACTTCCCTGTAACCAAACCTTGTTTGAGGGATTTCTATCCATTGAAATGTTTTGCCACTCTTCAATGATTCTGATTCGATCATATTTTTCTCCATGCTTGTATGTTGAGATGCCAAAGGTCCGGAAAGCCTTTCAGCACGTTGGATGAATTGAAACCACACATGCCCTTCCCAGATATTTCCATGTAAGGTTTAACATTCAAATTCCTCAAGACCATGTGGGTTTGAAGATAAAGACCTGGCCTCTGGGTTTCTAGGATGCCATGCCCATATGCCCAGCGTTTGCAAAATGGCTGAAAATGGCTATGGCTCAAAGGCAAACCTGCAGCAAGACAGGTTTGACTTCCCAGTAGCTTGTCCAATCGTGACTGATCAACCACGTATTAAAATTAAACCCTGCTTCAAATTAATTTGTCCGAGAAATGGATGACCTTACGTGTTATGTGTCAAGAGTTCAGAGGGGAGCACAGATGCAAGGTCATTTTTGAGAGCAAACCGCAGTGAACCAACTCGAAATTCGGGGACACTCAATTTGGGTCCGTGCACATATGATCAAGCCTCAGAACAAGTGCCATCAATTGAAACTTGGATGTACAATATGGCACAGCACTAGGTGTTTGTCAAACCTTGGGGTTCAGTTAGCTAACCGCTCAATCCATTCACTTTGAGGGATGCATTGTCGCCCCAGCCCTAATGGGTAAATATGACCATTAAGATACAGGGTGAGATGGTGAATACAACCAGCCATAAGTGGCTTCAGATATCTCCGGCCATTTTGGGTTAAAACACACATAAAGCAGATTGCCTCACTTTGAAACACACTGGAAGCGGGGCTCGCGGCGCGAGCGCGCTCGCTATGTCAACGTTGAAGGAGAAATTCAACAAATGCTGCAATTGGGTTGGGTCCAAACAAGATGCCTGTAGCAGCTCCCTGGCTTGGTTTTGATCTGTGAACATCAAAGACTTGGTGGGCTTTCCACCAACTTTTTTCTGTCGATATTTCACGGGGATATGAACTAACATGTTCATGGGCACGTAAACCCTAAATAATGGATATTGAATGATATTGATGGGATATGAAAACTGGGTGGTTGGTGGCAAATGCCATGGCACTTATGGTGATCAAACCGACTGGATGGATAGTCTAATCTGTTGCTTCACATGGAGATAGAAACGCTTATCAGCTAGAACATGTTTCGGGTATGGTATCTAAGGTTGGTCATTGTTGGGATACTGTATGTTTTTTTGGATAATTCCAATTCACTTAACAAAATGGATTGAAAGAAACAAGCGAAAATCAGGTGATCTTGGCTCTGATGCATTGTCCGGGGTTGCTTTATCTTTTGTTTGTCATTCCTTGAAACGTTTGGCTCTCAGACTTCAACGACCAACCATGGGTCATGATGGCAAAAAAAAGGCGGTTTCTGCCGGTCTAGCACCGTTTAGGCTCTGGCAAACACACGTGGCAGTGGAAACTCACCTAAGTAGTTGGAGGTGGGGTTTTCATGGCCAGGTGAGGCATTTCCCTGGTGTCCCTTGTGACTTGGATGACTTGGTTCCTCCGGGCCACACATGTTCTTAGTGACTTGAGGTCATTTGGCCCGGATTTGCACCTGTGGAAATTATCGTTTAGTGCGAGGGCCCAGGGATTCAGTTGTTGAGGGCGAGCCCATGAGGCGAGCTCATGGAGATAAGGTCCGTTCTTTGATGGGGTCAGTAGTCTCATGAGTAATGCGGGAAAGCCAATGCCACAAAGCATTCGAGTCAAAAAAAACTGGGGCTCACTTTAGATCATTGCAAATATCGGAGAGATAACCCAACAGATTCATTAGATCCCAATATTGAAAATCAAGTGTGTGTATATACCTCATTACTGGGGTGTTGACCGACACCTTGGGACCTCAGGTTTTATATGATTTTAGTCTATTGTTGTATAGTATTAACCTGCAATTTTTGGGGCAACCAATCTTGACCAGCAGCCACTTGACTTCAATGAAGTGGGCTCAATAGTACTGGCAGCCGTGCTGCCTTTAAAGTGCTGACTGAGTGTGGGCTTTGCCATTGGTACAATATCCTGACGATATATATATATTTATATTTATATTTATACATATATTGATAATTATATATGTGGTACTTGGACAAGTGGTAATCCAGCACTAATTATTTGGGGCATGTTTTTTTCTCAAAATAGGATCCGCCCACATATCATGGTTTATCACCCTTTTATATATCTGCGGATAAATCCACCATTTTGAGACCCACATCTAGTAATTTTAGCAATTCTTCCGTAGCTGAGAAGTTTGGTCGTCCAATATGACGATTTCATCCAATATGACAATTTCGTCCAATATGACAATTTCGTCCAATATGACAATTGGATATGGATATGTAATGATATATATATATAATATATATATATATATATAAGGTCTATTTGTTTGGATAATCCTCTGAACACGGTTGTAAAAGGAGATAAGTGGAGCAACCGTAGGGTACTGCAACTTGCCTGTTTCTAGGGAATCCGCACAATTCCTCACTATACATACACATGAACACACATTCCAGTTTTTGTGTGATGGGGGGGGGGGCATAATTTGTTGTGTCGGAGGCCATGTGCGGCGATTTCAATATTGTCGGAGTGCTCCAAAGCTACACAAAATCCCAAAAAATCAACACACAACACGTCACAACACATATAACAACACTAGAACAGCCAAAAAGAATCCACACTTAAGACCCTCAAAAAGAATCCATAGCAATCGAACCCATCCAATCCCCCGTAAGAAAAAGATAGCAATCCCCAAGCTTTACCCTTTTCAAATTGGAACATCCCTTTCCGGGGGGTTCCCTGGTAGGTCTTCAACGCTCCAGTGACACTGTGGTTCTTGGGGACCTGCTTCGTGGTGCCTCGCAGAAAGTCAGGATACATGACCCAACAAGAGGTAAAGCTTGGTGACCTTTAATCTTAGGTAGTGGATGGTAGTGGGTGAATTCTATAGCCACTAAATTTGGCTCAAGTGTTTTTTTGGAGACAAACATGTATCCTCCCCTCCTAAGAGAAGCGTTTGTTTGGTTGGCGGTGGAAAGGTATCGAAGATCTCCGTGAAAGTTCGAGACAGGACAAGCAGGATTTCCATCTGCCCCATCTGTCAATGATTCCAACGACTCAATGGGGAACCATCCTCAGGTGGAGCTCAGCTAATCGTCTGGATACTGTAAAAAATATGGTGAAAAACTCGGTAATTATGGGTCAAAAAATAAGAGCCAAAGGACCACAGAATTTACACTCAGGATTCAATGATCCGTTTTTGTTGCCTGACTCTGCCACCCGACAGCCTTGTCAATGTAACCTGCCATCAAGAAAATACGTACTTTATGAACAGCCTCAACACGAGTTATCCTTTTGTAATCTGTTGATTGTGATTCGATATTTGTAACTATGTATTAGGAAAAAAAAATATACACTTACATTTATACGCACTACTCCCCTTCATCCAGGATTCAGAAAGCATGATTTGTGTTGTTGTTTAGCTGTGTTTAATGAAATTTACACTATCTTTATATAATGGAATATGGATGGGCGATAACAACTTCGACCAAAACGTGATGTGCCTGTCACTGAGTCACCCATGATGTTTGTTAGATATTGTTTACAATGTATGTTCACTCTTAATTACATACCATATTTATACATATGCTACTAATTGATTGTAAACATTGGATTGTTGAACACATGACAACAATATACAATAAGAATCAATAAGACATATGTTAGTCTGAACATGTTGTTTATGTTTTTTTTCTCCAACTTTGATCCTACTGTTTGGTTGTAAATATAAATATGTTGCCATGGACCCATGTACAAGATTGTACAAGCATGTTACCCTTCCAATTGCGTGGACTCCTTTTTCACGGGTGATTTGTTTAATTGCTGGTGTGAGTCAGTTCGTGTGTCTCTCACACTGCAAAACATGTTCCATTCTTTGATCTGGGAAACTTGATCCAGTGGACACGCCAAAATCAACCTTCAGTGCACAATCGATGTGAACAACCATGGTTTCCCTAGGAACAGGATCTACAAATGGTGGGTTTTCCGGATTTATTTATGTTAGTTTACAGGAAGGTAGTTGTTTAAATCTTCAGTCCTGTATTTCAAGGTGGTTTTGGAAAATTATGGAAAATTGGGATCCTGAATCCCGGATTCAAGGTGTGAAAATGAAGCCTTGCGGAGATCGCGAATCTTACATCCAGGATTTATTGGGCATGTCAAAAAAAACAAATAATGGGCTATAATTGATGATTGGTTGTTCCCCCATTTTCATGTCCACAGCCATTTGAAAAAGACCTCGGACCTGTTCCTGAAAAAGCCAGGTCTGGGCCCTGAAAGTGTCCACACAGCTGCTTGGAAAAAATTGGATTGGAAAATCCCCATGCTGGGGATGAGGGGATCAAGGGATCAAAATCCCCACGAGGCCCGTTTTTGCCTCGTGAAAACCCAGTGATCTTTGCCCATCCAACTGGCTTTAGCTATATGATCCTATGGGATTCTCCGCGAACTCCGGCAGTAGTTTCCCACCATGGAGAATGGCGGGAAGGGACCATGGTGATGTATGGTGACCATAACTGGGGGTATTTACATCATGCCAGAGGTATAAGAAATGTGAAGAGGCCCCATTCAAAGGTGCTAAGGGACGGGTGTTCAATAACACCAGGCTGGTAAGACTGGCTAAAGTAGGGTTGGTTTATTACTTTGGTTTATCATGTATTCAATGTATTCTTTCTTGTTGTCTACTCAACTCTATCTGAGTTAATAATTTCAAACTCAGAACGGCATTGGTTGGATTGCCCTGTTCATGCCGCAGACCATGGTGACACAAGACGCGATGATCCATTTGAATTTGCATGAGCATGATTGACCGGACCCAAGTACCCACATAGATTTGACCTTGTGTCACATTGATTCATATTGCGTCACTGTATTTCCTACATCCTAATCTAATTGCCCAGAAACAAACTCCGTTTGAGGTGTCATTGAGTGCACAGACAGTTTCCGGAGCCTCCAATCCTTGATATTCCATGAGAGACAAAACTTCGGGATGAACACGGAGATCATCAGGATGAATGCCTGGATTCATCCTTCCCGCCGTGCACCAATCCACGACCCATTGGCTGAGGAATGGCACATTATCCAGACCCGTTTCAGATCCGATTGAATTACATTTCTTCAGTCTTTTAATATCTTTTAATGACAATTTCAATGTTTGTTTCATTTCTTTATTTGTTTAAATGATTGTACCTTGATGTACCTTGTTCGGGTGTGGCCAAGTATGTTTTGCCGCAAAGTCCGACTGGCTGAAACTGACCTGTGGTGCTCCATGTGGATCCACCCGACAAATGGGATTTCTGAAATTGGGTACAATAGACTTTAGTGGATATTACTGGATATTAGTGGATATGATACTAGTAGCTATAGATGTAGCTAGAAAAATCCAGTCATAGAAACTAATCCACTAACGCTGTATCATGATAAATTTCCAGGTATATTTGGGTTTGCCACATTGGGTTTGCCACGGCTATGCCCCGCGAGCCCCGGATTTTTACAAAGGAGCAAGGACTTGGACAACTTCTTTCGAAGCCCTGCGCGTTTCGAGGCCGACCGATCGGCCAGGTGCCAGGTTGAGAATTCTGGGATCACAACAGGGTACGACGTGGATATCCCACTGGTGGCAACACCAGGGCTTTGACTTGGAAAAAAGAACACGTTTGCAATAATTATCAAAGGAAGTTTAGGGGGAGAAACTTCCGTGTTACGGACTTTTAGAATGTCAGGGAAAGAGTTAGTGAGGGAAAGAGTTAGTTAGGGAAAGAGTTAATTGTAACTTTTAGACTGTCAGGGAAAGAGTTAGTCAAAGGAAGAGTTAGTGTGGGAAAGAGTTAGTTAGGGACAGAGTTAATTGTAACTTTTAGAATGTCAGGGAAAGAGTTAGTCAAAGAAAGAGTTAGTGAGGGAAAGAGTTAGTTAGGGAAAGAGTTAATCAGGGAAAGAGTTAGTCAAAGAAAGAGTTAATGAGGGAAAGAGTTAATTGTAAATGACATCTTCAAGTTGGATTTTTGGAGGAAGTCCCGCACGAAATGCGTTTTTGAGAGATAGCAGATGCACGAAACCCTATGTTTTTCCATACAAGGTCCGTCCCCGAACCTCGATGATCTACCTCTGCGGTGCGACGGTTGCGAGACGGTCTCGTGTGTGGTCGGATCATGCTCGGATCATGGTCGGATCGGTTCCGCATTGTAAATGGGGTTTCACCTGTTTTTCGTGCATGTGCGGTCGACAGAATTCCATTGTGATTTGCAACTGTAGGATCGTTCCCGCAATGTAAATGGGAATGCAAGTGGTGCTGGTGGATGAGTTGCCGATGGAATTCCATTGTGATTTGCAACTGTAGGATCGTTCCCGCAATGTCTAGAAGGTTTCAAATGCTTCGGTGGACGAGCTGAGGACGTAATACCATTGTGTTTTGCTAGGGATTGTTGCTAATCGCATTGTCATGGCTGCGTGAACTTGCTGCAGCTGGATTCTTTCAGATTTTGGCTGCTTGCATTTTCTATTTAAATTCTTTATAAAAAACGCTTCAAAAATCAACTTTTTCTGCTCTGGCGTCGAGATCCGGTTTTGGAGCTACAATTTCCGACGCCGTTGCGCGTAGTTCTATTGTGTTTTGCAACTCAGTCTCTGCAGATCGCATTGTAATGGCTGCGTCAAGGTTGCTTCGTGCTGTGGCTGCATTGGTAATACTATTGTCTTTTGCAGCTGGATCTCGGAAATCGTCTTGGAGTGGCTGCATGAAGGCTGCGAAATGGATTTGTTAGCAGATTTTCTCCATTTTGGCACTAGTGTTTTTTTTGTTGCACGTAGGTTTAGAGCAGTGTGAAGTGTGGGGCGTGAAGAGTGCAGTGTGAAGTGTGAAGTGTGAAGGAAGCAGTGGGAAGTGAGAAGTGTGAAGTGTGGAGTGTGAAGTGTGAAGTGTGGAGTGTGAAGTTTAAGTTTGGAGTGCGAAGAGCGCAGTGTGAAGTGTGAAGTGTGAAGTGTGAGGTTTGGAGTGTGAAGGAAGCAGTGAGAAGTGAGAAGTGTGAAGTGTGGACTGTGAAGTGTGAAGTGTGAAGTGTGGAGTGTGAAGTTTGAAGTTTGGAGTGTGAAGTTTGAAGTTTGGAGTGCGAAGAGTGCAGTGTGAAGTGTGGAGTGTGGAGTGTGAAGACTTTGCTTCGTCTCTCGCTGAAAAAAAAAGCCGCTTGTCGAGGGAAGGACACGGTCGGGACAGGTTGTCTTCGAACTATAGGTCATTTATTCTTGGGAAACTTCCGCCGCCGGCTTGCCCGGGTACTTGTATATGTTGTAACGACGCATAGTTACATAGTTATGGATGTCATGTGTAATACAGTGGGTGACCATTCCGCTTTGGTATGTTAGGAAGTGCTTGGTCACCACTGGCAGGAACTACCATAACTACCCCCAACTGAGGCAATCTTCTTAAGTACAACTGGTTTGCACGCATTTCTGTGCGAACTATATTGCAACCTCACTGGTGGTGCTACGACGGGAAAACATAGTAAGAATGGTTTGTTGCTGGTGGCTGGTTTGCGATTTGTTTTGTTTTGCCCAATATTTGCAGTTCCCTTTTTATAGGGCCCCCAAAGTGATACATAGATCAAATGCGAGACGGTGATTTTATATTAATTACTGTACATGAGATGGGATAAGCATGTCTTCAACATAGATCTCACCCACAGTGACCACCAGGAGTGACACTTAACCTTGCGGAAACAAGGTTTCTGTTCAGCACCGCCACGATTCGTGAGTGGTGGACATCTACAACAAATGCATGTTAATACATGTTGATAATACACAAGTTTGACCAATATAATACCAATATAATATAGATATATAGCATGTTCATTTAGCTTCAAACTATATATGTCTTTCGTGCAGATTGGAGTCATCAAAATTCTCCACATATTCCACATCCACGTCACAGGGAAGATGAACTTCGGTGGTGAAGACAGTCTCCCAGCAAGAACTACATGTTTGAATATGGGATCGTCTGAAAATCAATTATACCATTAATTTTATACACAAATCCCATGGTATACACAATTTTTGTTCTATTTAAGGTGCCATTTATGGGTTTTCTATGGTATTCTTGTCTTGTTTTCGGACAGAACCATATCCTTCTGTTGTTTTTCAACAAACATATCAGAGTTGCAAGCAAAACACGCAACACCACGGGCTTATGTCGTTTTCATCATCCTGGTGGAGCCCCATACTTCTACTTGTTGGTTTCAGACGGTTTCAATCTTCAGCCATGCCCTAATACTCCATCTGGAATATGTGCCAACATCTGTAACTCCAAAAAATGACCCGGTCATGTAGGTAAACGTCCCATACATGAATAGTTGACAAACATTATTCTACTTGGCCACTTTTCTCAGGACCAACAGCCAGTTGCCTTTGTTCGGGCTCCAGTCATGCGCAACGCCCCTGTAGCCCATCCAGTCTGAGCTGTCACCATCCAGTCGATGCCTCCACTGAATTTCATCAATCGGAGACCATCTAATCGAAGTTACCCGTACTCAAAGAGCAGGGG